GGCTGGGTCCTCCACAGACAAGTCATTAATGGCAGACTCATCTGGGCACAGTCAATGGGGTCGCACGTGGCGGGTCCTCCATAGATGAATCAACAGTGACTTGTTCATCTGGGCACGGCAAATGGAGCCGCGCGTGGCTGGGTCCTTCACAGATGGGTCATCGATGGCTTGGTCAATTGGGCACGGTCATTAGAGCCGCGTGTGGCTGGGTCAATCCAACAGTTGGGCCAAAAATGGGAGACGCAACTGGGCACGGTTATCATGGCCGCGCATGGCTGGGTCCTCCTGGCTAGGATTGACGATGGCTGGCTCATCTGGGCACGGTCATTTGGGCCGCGCGTGGCTGGTTCATCCTACAGTTGGTTCAAAAATGGCAAGTGCAACTGGGCACGGTTAACATGGCCGCGCATGGCTGGGTCCACCTTGCAAGGATCGTCAATGGCTGGATCATCTGGGCACGAGCATTGGGCCGCACATGGCTAGGTCATTCTCAGCAGGGCTTGTAGACCGCATATGGCATGGCTGGGTCCACCTGAGCAGGTTCATCAATGGCAAAGAATAGTGGGTACAAGTGGGTACAAGAATGAGTCTAAACGTAGATAGATTCATTGGCAGCAATGGCATCAATAAATGAATCATGCCCCAGCAAGGACTGCATCTCTGCGGACATGACAGAACCTGAGGCTGCCGCAGAGAGATTGTTGTTGAAAGATATGTCCGTGATTTCCAACACTGCAAGGCAGTCACCTTGCCGAGAGTATGAAGGAGCCTATTGAATAGACCTTCCAAATGATCCAGTTTGGTGTGGGTGTTTTTATGAAGCAAGATCAGATCATCCACAGATTGCTGATCTAGTTTCTGTTGCTGCTGTTGCTGACTCATATTATGCTGCCGACTGCCAAATTGTTTGCGAGTCTGGGCTGTATCCTTCAAACTTTGCTCCATCTTGAGTTTGGCCTGAAATTTACTTAGATGTTTCTCAGCCAGATTGGCTCGCTTGGAGTTTGCTGAATTTTTGCGGCTCGCATTGGCCCGGTTGCCGCTCCTAAAGGGATTGGGTTTGATATCCTGACGACGATCCTGGCTCCTGTGCTGGCTATTTGGGTGAGAAGCTGGTCTTTCAGCCATTTTAGAGTGACTCTGCCGAAGAATGTTCCAATAATTATTATTGTTGCTGGGCCCATGTGAACTACGCTGCTGTTGATGCTTTGGTCTATGGTTAGCATTAGTTTTGGGTCTAGGATGTTGAGAATACTTGGCGAACCCTGAGCGATGATTGGGGGACTTGGCAGAGAATTGAGAGCCATATAGTTTGTACTTAATGTCCTTGTAGACCGGACAGCCTCTATATGCACTAATGTGCTTGCCCTTACAATTGCCGCAGCAGGCAGCCGTGTGTCTGGGCTTGCTGCATGCAAAGGTCGGATGGGAGCCAGCACATTTCATGCACACAAACTCGCGTCTACAATCAGCTTTCATATGACCAAATCCCTGGCACCTGTGACATTGTGTCAAAGGGTTGGCACGGGTCAATGATGGAAGATATCGTTGCTTAGACGGAGTTTTGGGCTTGTGAGTGGCCGTCGTCGTGATCGGAGTCATGGGCAAGGACTGAATGACATCAATTACGGCATCCTTTGACTTGGTGGGGGCAGTAGCAGTTTCATTGCGCTTTTGTAAACCATCCCTATACAAGGCCTGAGCAAATTTACTTTTGAACACTGGCGTCTTTGCCGGGGCTGGGAGGGCAGGGAAACTATCATCAGTGAACACAACATTGCGCTGCGGGGTTTTGGCCAGATCTTTTGGCGAGGAGTGGACCACCACAAGAGCAGACTCCTGGTGAGTAGCTGACACCTCAGGGCTCAAACCATTGTATTGCATCGTGGCCATTGGAGACGACTGGGAAATGGGGGCAGAGGGCACCTTGCGCTTACCTGGCAACCTGGCTTACCTAAAAGTGGCAACATAGTTGTTCTCCCTAAGGCTCACACAGGCATCTTTGAACGATTTCAGGTTGGCCAGGAAATTATTGACTACCTCCACAGACTGTACCTTGCCAGGGGAACAGCTTGGGTTAGCTTTCTTGGATGCACTCATAATAGTGGAGGAGGATGCTGACAGATTACGCTTACTATTATTATCAGTGGACACGGCAAGAATGGGCAACATGGGAGAGGCAGTCGTGGCTGCCAACTGCGTATTGGTGGAAGCTTCTCTTACAGTCGGCAAAGCAGTGTCAAGTGGGTTGGTGCTAGTAGGCATGTGTCTGCCCTTGTTTAAAGAGAACCCTGACCCATTATGAGATGTTGGTATAAGAGTATTGGCTTGCATCGATTTATTATTAAGAGCATAACTTTAAACGTGGTGTTCATGAGAGTGAGTATAAGTATGTGAATTGGCGTGTGCATGATCGTTAGCAATATTAGCATGAGTATGATTATGTGTGTGAGTATGAGTGTGCAAGTTTTTATTCTCTTTGTCATAATTGTTGGAAATAAACTCACCACATTTCCCCTGGCTCCTGAATTCACGCTCACCATCTGCCATGTCTCTCTTGTTCTCCATCTCTCCACTCGGATCTCTCAAAAGTTGTGTAGACTCAACTTGGGCTGTAACGTGCAACCTCATGTTGCCCAGTATTGAACACAGATCTGACTTCGCGGGGCACGCTATAGTATCCGGCTTTTGCTCGTCGGCTTTGGGGGTGGAGGTCTTGCTAATTCAGATCTGGTCCCTGGCTATTATTATTAATCAAGAAATTGAGCGTGCTTCCGACGACATACGCAATTTAAGCGTAGATAAAAGACAGAAACCGGGAAAAGGTAAATTAATTTCAGAAGAAAGCTAGATCACACTGCGAGAAGGAAAGAAAAAAAATGAAAATTCGGAAAACGAGACGCTGATGTCATTACGTCTGTGGCCCACCCTACCTAAGATCACTGGCTCCAAGTTTAATTCGCGTGATCCCTTTAGGTACCCTTACGACCGCATCATCATTGGCAGAGTTCTAACGGAAAAATTACTCCATAGCTTTGTTTAAATTCATTTTTGTTTAATAATCTAAATTAAATTCTATGTTTAAGGTGGAATAAAGAACAGGATAATTTCATGAAATTAGGCATGTATAAACAATTTAGTATAAGAGGATCTTAATCTTAATAAGGCTTAACATTTATAAAAATATATAGAAAATTTCCTAGTAGACAACATAGGTATAAGCTTTACTTAAATTTCTAATCGTTCTTACTGACAAAAATATCTTATGTGGTTCTCATTTTTTTTCAGTGTTTTCATTGTTCAATTTAATTTTTCTTTGCTAGTATTATTATTTATTTGATAAATTTAAAAATTAGAATTCATGTAAAATTTAGAAATGTTTTTTTTTTTTAAATAAAAGAAATTTTAATTTTTCCACTTTAATTTGCTTTTAGCTGGGGTTGTTTTGCTTTTTAATTGGGTTTGTATATTTTTCTTTTTTTTAATCATTAGAATGTGAATGCCGAGTATGAATTAACCAACGAACGAGATTTGTTTTATAGTGACTCACTTTGTGTACTCTCCACGACGAAGATCGATCTCCCGAGGGGTACCTGCAATAGAACAGCGACTTTGGTTCGCCAGGGGTTGAATAGATACCGAGCATTCATCTGTTTTAGACAACCAGCTATTTTCTTAAACTAATAAAAATTTTCAGAGACCTAAGATTCCTAAGATTTACATAATTGTATTTTTTTTTTTTCCTTTGTATATTTTTTTATGTTTTTATAATTTCTTTTCCTACTTGTTCTTTTTCCAATTTCTTTTTCTAATTCTCAATTATATGTTTTATAATTTAGGTGTAGGTACCTACATATATTTCCTGTTCTGAACAATATTTGTTTAAGTTTGATTTTCATTTAGTATTTAAATTATTTTTATTTCCAATTTTTTTTTCCAGTGCAGCCATCGCATATTATAGGTTAAATGTTGATAAAATTCTGACACTGGGCGAATTTATAGTTTTTTTTTTTTTTTTTTTCCTTTTAATAATTTACACCAATCGAAAATGAAAGATTATTCCCAGTGTCGTGGCTGATCTCTATTGTTTTGTTTGGCCGATGGCCTGGTATATGACAATTTTGGTGCACTACATATTTGCTCTGCACTAAGCAGCTATTTTATGTGACCTAGTTGATTGCCGCTGCTCAGGTAGCTACCAAGGGTGAGCTTCTGAGACGGTTACAAAAAAAAAATATAAATAAACGAGCGGGTTTTCTGCCCGCTAAGATGGGGCGAACGCTGGTGCTGGGTTGTTGGGGTGTTCCTGTTGTTGGGGTGCTCCTGTAGACGCGGGGCGTGGCTCCCAGTACGGCGTCCAAGGGGTGCTCCAGTAGGCACTACGTGTCCCGTCGCTCCTTCGGCGATGTCCGGACGATCCCTCGATGCCCGCGCAACTCAGCACTTGCTGTAGCCGCGGGTGGCCAAGGCGGTCCGATTATCCACTGGGACCCAAAAAAAAAAAATCTAATAACGAACGCCGTCAGAAACCGGCTCAAGCCAAGTTGCTTAATTTTTTTGGCTTACCTAGGCAGCCGCCAAAATAAATAAATGAATAAGCCACTTGCTCTTCCGGAACACTTGTATATATATATTCCCGACTTAATGAGCGGCACTCGGATTAGACGCGTGTGATCGCTTCGAATAACTTTTGACGAAAAGAACGTATCCGGAATTCGGATACGGGTCAGCAAAGTTGGCTGCGATGCAGAGCCGAGCTTTGCATTGCGAATCTGTCATGCATGTCAGCTGGTCTATTGCACCTGTAGCTGCGGGTACACTAATTCAGTAATGCAAAAGCTACGTGCATATGTACCTATGTAAGAATAGAGCCTACTTCCAGGCTAACTATATTTATAAGCGCTTGCGCAACGCTTCAGGCGCTGTTACAAAACCCCCCGCCGAAATCCAGCTAGGGTATTTGTACCAGATACCCTAGATGGATACCGCCTGAAGCTAGGTCACTGGCGAATATCCTTGGCATGGTAAGTGCCTAATAACCGACCCTGTGGATCTTCCAATTCGTAGTAGCAGTTACCCAATTTCTTGCGCACCCGGGCTTTGACAAACGACGGCCCAAACTTGGCATTGTATCCGGATTGGAAACAGCTTTGCTTGAAATTACGTCGGAAGACCTCTTGACCGACGTTGAAAGATACTGACTTTGTCCGAAGATTATATCTCTTTTCGTTTTCATCATGCATCTTCTGCATCCGTTTTTTAGCTTCCATATGAACAATTTCGAAAGACTCCGGACGATTGAAAAGTACAGAACGATCGTCGAGCAGGTTCAGCTTCCTTAGCAGAGAATATGTGGCACCCGATGTGATCATATGTTGTCCATAGACCATATAGTACGGAGACGTTCCGATGCTAGAATGCACAGAGGAACGCAAAGCACAACTAATTCTACTCAAGTTCTCATCCCAGTCCTTTTGGTCAGGACGTACATAAGCCCTGATCCCTGGAATAACGGAGCGATTAACGCGTTCCGAAGCGTTAGCTTGAGGGGCATGCACAGCTGTTAATACGTGCGTTACTCCGTACTGCTGCATTAGCTTTTTAAAACCTTCAGCTCGAAATTGGGAGCCGTTATCTGAAACAATGGTCTCTGGCACCCCAAAGGTCATAAAAAGTTCACTCTCAAGATAGTTTACTACTACCGCGGTGTTTATCTTTTTCACCGGCTTCAGGAATACATATTTCGAGAAGTGATCGAGCACTATAAAAATGCCAACATTTCCGCTTCTAGAACGCGGATAGGGTCCGAGGAAGTCAATGAAAAGTCGCTGGAAAAACCTTTGGGTTTCCGGAGCTTTTCCTAACGGCGGACGTAGGGAACAATTCGGTGATTTGGTGGACTTGCACACTTCGCAAGCGTTCACATAAGCTCTTACGTCTTTTACTAAACCGGGCCAATAGTAGTATCGCCTAAGCCTCTCAATAGTCTTGTGTATCCCGCCGTGTGAGCATAAAGGACTGTCATGAGCACGAACCAAGACTTCTCGGATCATTTCTTTGGGGATCCACAGTTTCCAAGCATACTCATCATGAAGAGTTTCTCCCGTCAGATGTTCTGCCTTTCTATACAAATACCCACTATCGACCTTTAAATCAGGGAAATTTGTCCGGTTAGCGCTGACATTGTCGACTAATGCCTTATATCCGACAGACTTAAAATGAATAGAGTTTAAATCGACAAGTAGTCCATCTTGCAGATCTATAGCCGCGAGCTCGTCTTCGTTGACTCGTGAGAGTGAATCAGGAACCACGTTTAACGAACCCTTGCGGTGATCGATACGAAACTTGTATGGTTGTAAAGCGATCGCCCACCGACCCAGTCGAGAATTCAAGTCGTGATTGGCCATAAGCTACTTAAGAGAAGCGTGATCTGTAATAATTTGGAAACTGTGACCTTCAACGTACGCTCGGAAATGTTTAAGAGCTACAATCGCTGCCAAACACTCTTGCTCCGTGACGGTATAGTTCCGTTGGGCCTTGTTCAGCTTTTTCGACACGAACGCAATCGGGCGCTCGTCTCCTTCTTCAGAAACCTGAACCAAAACAGCTCCTACCCCGCTTTTGCTGGCATCGCAATGTATTGAAAAGGGCTTAGAGAAATCTGGGTTGCACAGAACAGGCGCTTCCGTTAAACATTTCTTTAAATCTTGAAAAGCCTTTATTGCTTCAGGGGTCAAACTAAATTTACGCTTTGTCGTCATCAGGTCTGTTAAAGGTGCTGACAGAGCTGCAAAATTCGGAACAAACTTTCTGTACCAACCACAGAGTCCCATAAAGCTTCGTAGTCCACGAAGGGTTTTCGGAATCGGGAAATCTGTGATGGCCGCCACTTTCTCTGGATCGGTGAGTATTCCGCCATCACCGATGATGGGGCCCAAGTATTTTACCCGTTTCATACAAAAATGGCTCTTACTAACGTTGATAGTCAAGCCTGCTCTTTTAATGTGTACCGCCAACTCTCTGAGTACCTTCAAATGGGTCTCGAAACTTGACGAAACCACCAATAAGACGTCTAAATAAACGAACACTTCGTTTCGGTAATGCGGTGGTACCACCTTGTCCATCAGTCTCGACATAGTACTCGTGGCATTGCACAGGCCGAAGGGCATCACCTTAAATTGGTAAAGCGGCCTACCGGGAACAGTAAAGGCCGTTTTATCGCGAGAGGTGACTTCTAACGGTACCTGCCAATAAGCATCCTTTAAGTCTAAGCTAGTAATGAACTCTGCCTTGGGAAGTCGACTCAAAATACCGTTTATCTGCGGCAAGGGGTAAGCATCTTTTTCGGTGTAGCTATTTACCTTCCGGCAGTCAAGGCAAATTCGCACTTTACCTGGCTTGGTTACCATAACTATTGGCGAAGACCAAGCACTCTGCGACTCCTCTATGACACCTAATTGGAGCATTCTGTCTATTTCGGAATACATAGCCCTCTCCACAGCTGGCGAAACCGGAAAATGACGTTGTTTTATGGGTTTCGCGCTACCCACGTCAATAAAATGCGTGATTAGATTAGTCTTCCCAAGCCCTTCCTTCGTGAACGATGGAAAACAATTGATGACTTCCGATAGTTTCCTTTTCTGGTCTTCGGATAAACTATGGGTATCGACACTGCTGCTATCACTGGCTTTGTCTTCAACCAACTCCACTTCCTCTATCGCTAGACTTTTAGGAAGTAGATCGTAGTGCTTCCAGAAATCTATCCCGAGGTATAGGTCGTGTTTCAGAGAAGGCACAATATAAATAGGTAAACATTTCTTAGTATTTGCATATTCTACTTCAATTTTTATTCGGCCTATTATGCGCTGAGGACTTCCATCAGCCGTCACAGCATTCCTTTCCATCGCCTTAAAAGGTACGTTTCCTCTCATTACTTCTGCTGCTAAGCTACCACCTACGCAACTGATGGACGCCCCCGAATCCAGCAACCCATACACAGTGCGATCCAACAATCGAACTGGAATAAATGGTCGAGGATCTCGAGCTGCATAAAGATTGGCACAAATGTATTCTAGGCCGAGTTCGCAACGCTTCACGGTTTGCCAGAAGCTTTTCATGCGCCTTGAACTACGCGATTTGATCTTTTGAAATCTAGGTACATAATTGATTTTAGGGGTAGATGGGGATTTTCTTAATTTATTAACTTTATGATGAAGCAGAGAACTATTATTACTAACCAGTAAATCTAAAGAAATGGTATTATCTATTTTAAGCAATTTTTTTCCTACTCCCTCGATGTCCCTTGATGTCGTAAGGTACTCGAGGGCGTCGGTCTGAACGGCGGCCTCGACGTGCCGGCTTTGGAGTTTTTTGAGCATTTAACACAACTTGGCTTATATGTGTTATTAGCACCACAGCCATAACAGAAAACTCTCCTTTCGGCCAAACAGTCCTGGTATCGGTGGCCTTCTTCTTTACAATTCCAACACACCAAGGAAAATGCCTCTATCTCTACCTCTGTCTCTTGCGCGCCTTGCTCCACCGAATCTTGGACTAATTCCGAGATCTCTCGCCTGAATGGGTTGGCTTTGGCATACCCGTGTATTTTCTTGACTTCATCCAAGAAAACCTCACGTCTTCTGCAAGTTTCTCTCAGCTCTTGAACTGTTCGGATCTCAACATTAAGAATTTCGTGCCTAATCTCAGTGCGTAAATTATTCTTGAGGACACGTACAAGCTTGTGAGCAGACCAAGGAACTTCCAATTGGTCCACCAATCCCGATATGCTTTCGTAAAAACTATCGAAAGACTCATTGGTCTTCTGCTTCCTATTTCTAATCAGCTCTTCAACATCTACATCGTCCCTTTCTTCCCTAAATTGGGTACGTAAGGCGGAACACAACGACCTCCATTGTACTTCACTCACGGACTTGTGGTAGCGCCAATAAAACTCATAGGCTTTACCTTCGAACAGAAAGCTGGCATTTCTGCACAGTATTGTGAAGTTTCCCTCTAATGTCTGGTGCGTGAGTGCTTCAACTCTATAAATAAAGTTGTCTATTGACACTCCGACTCCTAAGTACTTCAACTTCCAACCATTCAAGATCTGAACAACCTTATCCGGTCGGTTATACAAGTCCGAACCAACGCTTCTGTGAGAGCTGGGTGATCCGGCTTGGTTTGCTGGCACGCTTTCATTTCGGTTGATTGAATTCCTCTCGTCAGGTCCACTTTGACCTTCTGTAGCGCGTGTAGGCAAAGTAGGTCTTGCACCGCTATTAACATTTTCATTAGCTGGGGTTACGGCCAATCGTCGAAAACTTTCTTCTACCGAACTCTGAACTAACCCTACCAGTCTCTCCGAAAGAGTCGTGAGCAATCTCCGCTCCATATGTAACCAACTACTTGGGCCCTCCAGATCGGGTTGGCTTGCCTCACCTCTCTCTCTGGCTATACTTTTACTGCTCCGGGCCTTCTCTGAGGTTGAGGGTTGTATCAAAACCTCTTCTAAGACCCGACCTTTAGCACGCGTTTGTGGACCAGCCGGCCTACAAGGTACTAGGCAAACTGGACATTTATCATTCCCCTTGAAATGATTCTCAATACACTTCTTGTGGTACTCGTGTTGACATGAAGTAGTATAAGAGTCCGTTGCGCCTCTTATTTCCTTATCGCACAACGGGCATGCTGGTGCCGAAGCCCCTACTGGTGAATGCATCATTTTAAAAAAAACCAACTGACGATCCAATACAGGCAACACTCTAACTTGATACTAAACGTTAAAATACGCGTTCAACTAAATCGAAAAAAAGATAACTGATCAATAATCAAAAGATACTTATAGAACTCTGCGCTAGATGTCCAGCGTGTCGAAGGGTACTAATATTTATTGTTTTCCGAAAGTCCGAAAAGAGACTTTAGATTTTAATTTGAAATTTAGAAAGATAGTAAAAGATTAGATTCGAAGAAGATTTATTGAATTAATTCGGACAGAACGGCGTTCATCATAACACTGTCTGTATTCCTGTAGTCTTTCTTCACATCACCAAAAACTTCATTCGAAAGGACAAATAAATAAAAACTTTCCTCAACTTCAAGTGGCTAAACGACCTCTCGCAAGTCAGGTCGCCTACATTCCGAATCTCTCAGTTTTGGAAAATCTTCATAGAAGTTGTGTTAGACTAAGCTTGGTTTAATTGCTTGTGGCCAGTGGATCGATAACCGTTCCTTACTGTTTTCCGCAAACAAATTAAGGTCAAAAAAAAAAATAGTTCTAACAAATTACTTATGAGAGAGTCGAGTTTTATTACCGCCTGTTTTTTTCTTTAGCTTTGGTCAATAAGAATCCCTCAGATTGTACTCCTATTGCTCTCCAAAACATAAACAGATT